GCGGTGGGAGCTGCAGAGCGGCGAGGGAGCCGGGCTCTCGGGGAGCGACTCGGAGATGGATCGAATTACACCATTTGCAGGGCAGCGGTTTGTTTTGCTCGCGCTGGGTCCCGCCGCCGCCGCCGCCGCCGCCGTCAGGGCTGGAGCTGGCGAGTTTCGGGATAGATCGCAAGGCGAGACCCGAGACCGAGGGATTGCTCTTTCTGCACACTGTCTTGGTCGGCTTTTCCGTTTGGTCGTGACAAGCTTTATTTGTCAGTCTTATAACACAGGCTTCCCCCATGAGAGGTAAGACGGTCTCCGAAGCTCGGCTGTCGCTCGGGGTGCATGATGGGGGTGGGACCCCCAGCCCGCAGCGCAGCTGTGTGCGGGCGCGTGTGTTTGCGTGGGTGTAGTGTCGCAGCTCCGCGGAGTTCATTGCTTTCTCAAGCCCCTCGGTCTCCAGTGGTGCGCGAGGCGCCTGGGGAGGTCTGGCTGACCGGTCCCAGCCGGCCGGTGGGCGGCCTGGGGGGCGGGGCGGGCGGTTCGGCCCTCCTCCTAGGCGCACCCCTAAGGGAAGAAAAGACACCCGGGGCCGCCGAGGAAAAGTTTCTTCCAGGCACCGCGGTCTCGGCGCTGCTCCGCACACCGTCAGGTTAGCCCGTCTTCCTTGCTGCGGGGCTTGCACCGCCAGCGCAACCCAGGCCGCCGGTCAGCCTCGGCCCCGAGGACGCGGGGACAGCCCGGGAGCGCGGAGCCACTGGCTGTCCACGCGGGGACCGTGGGCACCCACCCGCCAGGCTCCCAGCCACTCTCCCCCGCAACTTTGCGTGCTTTGTTCGCTGGCTGGAAATGACTCACCGAAGCGCTGTGGACAGGGTCTTAGCCAGTCGGCAAGGGCTCGATCCGGAGACGTGTTACGCTCTCAGCTTCCCATCAATTATGGATGGAAACAAATAAGGAAGAGTCAATTTTGTATGAGCCGCTTCTTCAGCGGCCAAAGGCGTCCTGTAGCCGGGAGCAGCGGCAGGCAAGGCGAGCTCAACATCCAGGTAGGGAAACTTCCAGCTCTTTGCTGCAGTGACTGTCTGTAGAAACTGAGGCAGTAGCCGCCCTGGGAGATTTGGGGGCGCTTTCAGCTCCCAGTGACATGTCTAACTCTTGGATTCTAAATTAAAGGCCAGAAAGGACTTGGAGGTGTGGATGCAAACTGAGTTTAGAATTTTTCTCATTAATTGGCCAGGGGGACCATTACTCGCAGAGGACTGTTTAAATCTCGCACTTGGTTTATTTAAAATTGCCCGGGTGGGGGTCGGAGTGTTGCGGGGGCATTGCAGTAGGGTCTGAGTTAGAGCGCCAGAGGAATTGGACCGGTCAGTAGGTCAGTAACCAATGCCAGTATCCTCAGAGTGGGACAGCGTTATTATAGATATTTCCCCGAGACTTTGTGTACAGTAACTGGACCCCATGTCGGCCACTCAGGCGTCTTTCCCTTAAATCAACACAGCTTCTGGTTACTTATGGGAAATCTCCTCCCAGAACTTGGAGCTACTACAAATTGTAAGTCTACAGTACCAAAATATGAGTGCTTTGCCCCTTCCTTCTACTTGATTCTTGATGCCATAAAGTAAGTCCTTTTGTTTATTTCAATGCTGAGGTCTCAGGGAAAGAGTTAACATTCTTATTCAGTTGGTTTAGTCTCTGCTCCTTGAATGGGAGAGATACTCCCCGTTTGGAGAAAACCTCCAAGGCTTTTTCTTCCTTGCATTGTAAAATCTTAGACAGCTGGAGGAAGTGGTTTTACTCCCTTTTTGGTGGTATAAAACAATAGATTCTGGTGCTTTGTTTCTTCCTGGTGTTAAGTATCTACCCTTGGAAATTAACTTGTCTTCAGTACCGTTTAATGTAGTGAGTGACAGGCTCATTCTCCCAAACTCGCACGTATTGCACACAAACGTTTACCCCGGCTTAGATCCATAAAAATTGCAGATAAGCCCTGGGATCGGGTCTGTATCGCCGAGAGCCTAAACATCTGCAGATAAACTACAGCTCACCCGTAATTGAGATTTGCTTTTTTGTCTGCCAGTGCTTTTGTTTAGGTCTCTGAGACGTGCGCCCAGAGACAGTTAAATACAAGATCCCAAGATTTCTCTGCTTGGCATGCTCAGGAACCTCAACAATCCAGTAAGCATTCCTTATTGGATCCTACATAAAACTTGATACCCATCCCATTCCTCCTAAGGCTGCTCCTTAGGTACCCTTTCTGAGTGACCTTTCTGTGGTGCCCGAGAATGTGCCAGGAACACTGTGATGCCTCCATGACCAGACATCTGGTTAACTTGAGTTTGATTTAGATCTGTGGGCATTTTGCCACCCCTTTCCCCCTTTTTGATGCCCTCTAATAGCACCAGAACCATCTGGTCATGCCTCCCTTGGTTTGATGGATTTGAAAGATGACTGTGAACGTCAGCCTTAGTCCTTAGAGTGAGGGCAACTTTAAAATCCAGAGGGCTTCATTCACTGGCTTGCTGCACAGGAAGACTGTCCAGTAACTGATTTGGGTAAGTGGGCCTTTGCATCCTGCCTGGTGGTTTCTGCTCCTTCAAAGGCCCTGAGCAAGCCGCTTGGGTTCAGAACTTCGCATCAGATCCCCATGACGGTTGAGGACTGACTGAGCCTGAGGGAGCTCTTCTTGCTGCTCCATCATAATGAGCCATGGTAATTAGCTTAGTCATTGTTCTTGCATGTGAGTTTCACTAAGATACAAAGAGTGAGAAATGCATCTGAAATGGGGTCATTTTTCACTGTTCTGATGCGTTGTATTCAGAGCTAAGAGCTTGGCTGAATGCCTGACCGGTATTAGTGCAGTAGCCATAGGCGGCAAACTCCTACCCTGACACGTTGCAGGACAAAATATCGTCTTTTATTGCTATTGGGGGTCTTTTAAGCATGCATAGTCTGGATTTATTCTAGAGGAAGTAAGAAGCAAGAGGCAGGTGAGGTAGGCCAGCTCGTGTATACTCCTTGAGTGAGTACCTGCCATTTGTCAGAGGCTGTAGCTGTGAGCCAACACCCTGTGGCCAGACATGCTTTTGTATATACATCTTAAGCTGCACTGCTGACTGGAAAACCAGATCGGTGGGGCAAGAAATAGAAATATATGTCTCTTTTTTGTGTGTGCAAATTACCGTTATCACAAAACTTGAAAACAAGATAACCTGAGCCTAATGTTCCCAGTGCAGGCCTTCCTGCCCTCAGCACTAAAGAATGGGCTGTCAGTGTGGTTTGCATACTGGGTCTGCCACACCAGGGGGAGACAGCATTCTCTGAGCTTTATGTGAATAGAGGTTTAACAGCAAACATCTACCCAATCCAGTGTCTTGGGATGCTGCTGAGAGCAGCTGACAGCTCAGTTGGGAGGAAAAGTGTCTTGATTTATTCCTGTGCCCCATGGAAGCACTAGAGCCGGTGACTCCATTAAGCACGCGGGGACACTTTTCAGTCAAGGTGGCTGTCCTCAGGCTGTTTCCCTATGAGACCTTGATGACAGGGGCAGTGTAGCTGACCACTGAGGCGGTTCTCCGTTCTCCCCAACGGGAAAACTACTCAAACTTCTCACTTAAAAGAAGAAAACAAAACAAAACCTCGAGCAGAGATCAGCTAAGGTCCTCCAGCTCAGCGGAGTGCAGAGCCCGCGCGCGGGGTGTTCGCGCTTCCCAAACTTTTCTATCAGACTTTGTTAACTCCCCCAGATTAGCATTTTAACAACCCTGAAGTGAACTTCTGCCATTCTCTGCACTTGGACACAGTATGTAGACCATCCATCATCCTGTCCTTGGCTACAACAGGCTGCTGGCTCTATCACCATGTGGAGGTACACAGAACCCATCCAACTGTGAATAGCACAGCTGGCTACAGCTATTTTTCCTTCCACACCACTGGCAGCATTGTCTGGCTGTGGTAACTAAAGTTAACACCCAGAACAGGAAGCTTCCATCGTAGGATAACCGGTGCCAGGCCCTCATCCAGTCTTGGAAGTACACCTGCCTGCAGGCCTGTTGGCTTGTCTTTTACTCACCTGCCACTTAGGTGGCATGTGGCCACAGCAGTGGACACTTTAGACTTGATACAGGTTAGCCACAGAATTATAGAATGAGAGAGCTGCCTTCAGTCCCTGCTCATGCTACGCCTTCAGAACTTACTCTATCGGAAACGTGAAAAGGGGGCTAAGAATAGCATTAAGCCTGTGACCCAGAACCACTCGAGACAGAAAAAGACCTGTCTAGCTCTTCGGTGACTTACACACACCCTGATTCCATCCCTTTACACAGACTGTGTGATGGACCTAAATATAGGCCTGCGGTCCGTATACACACACTTTCAATCACATTTTGTTGTTTTCCGCTCTTTATGTCTGTAAGGGGAGCCCTTGCTTGTTAGGGAAAGGATGACATGTATTAGGTGGGTGAATTTCTTAGGAGATACAGCCAAGCTTTTCGTGTGACGGTTTGAACTTTTCTAACAGAGAGTACTTTTTTGGGAATTTGATGTGCAGAAGAGGCGGGGTCATTTGATGCCTTGGTGTGAGTGAACCCGACCACAAAGTAGCAGGGAGAAGGAGGGGGACATTGACGGAACAGGAAGAGAAAAAGGGGGAGCAGAAATCTCAGTGCCCACAGTGGACATAGTGTGGCGATTACATTCTAGACATGCTAAGAAGGTCTTTGATTGTGTGAAAGATTCAAACACCTACAGGAGGTAAACTCCTTTAACAAGACTTGATCACCTAGAGAATAGAGTCACCCAGCAGGGAAGCCAAACCTCTAAACAATCCAGCCCACAATTTCTTTTCACAGTACTGGGTTGCTTTGATATTTCTGGCTCTTCTGAATGAAGAAGTTACATTTAGAGAAAATATTTTTATTGAGCGACTTACGCGTGTGGGTACGTTCTTGAGTCGTGTCTTTCTTGCTAATCTAAATCATAGGGTTCTATTCTTCTCCCACACGTATTCCTGGGGGTCAGACAACTGTGACTTCTTCAGTGGTCGCAGAACGGCCCCTCACCCAGCGCTGCTTTCCATGTTGGGTTTTCTCGTCTAGGATCATTTGGCAGCGAACTCTCGGAAAAGTGCTGTGTGGGTGCACTTGCTGATTCTATCCTGATCCTGCCAGGTGACAGTCTATTAAGTACCACTGTCCCATTTCCCAGGGTCACAGTTTCAAGGTTGAAGGTATTTGTCTGCAGGCCTCCCACTGTTCTTAGTGCTTTGATGAACTTTGACCTGAGTGATCAAACCCCGCTGAGACTTTGTCTCCCGTGCAGTAACTTCCTTGTTATTGTGCTTTTTAATTCAGAGTTCCTATGGGAGGAAAGTCTTAAAACCAGATATGCATTGCCGTTGCACACGATGCTGAAATTTACGGGTTTTAGTATATATTTAAGGGAAGGAAACCTAGATTTTAAGAGTAAGAGTTCAGTGTGTCAGTACATGGATAATAAGGCCTCAGGAGGATCTGCAACCACTTAGCCTGTTATTGGAGTCCGTATTTAGCAGTAGAGGCAAGAGTTTGTCCTGGCACCAAAGAGCTGGAGCAGAGGAAGCTCACCAAGGAAACACTTCTGTTCCTCAGTTGGACCATCAGCAGCAAACCAGGAAGCTGGGCGGCTCCACCTCGTCTCGCACCTCACTTGTTATTACAGGAGTGCTTGGAAGAACCCAAGACTCCCTTGGGTGATTGGCGGAACGAGGAAAGATAGTTTTAAAAGCAATCGACAAAAGAAAGAGAGGCCAGAGAAGTGGTGTAACGTATTCCGCATTTTCTGTGCTTGCCATTGCTGTTGCAAACGTGCTCGTTCAGTTTTGACCAAGTGTCTGCTCTGCATGCTACCTAAGGGGAGCCTGACAGGATTTCCGAGCTCTAGGTGAACCGCCACGGCAGAGTGTGGTGTGTCTTAAGAGCCGGAGAAGATATGCCCAGCCTTGTGGAAGCCCAGAAAAGGGAGGTTATTTCTGGCGAGGGTGGTCAGGGAGGGTTTTGTGGAGCCACTG